CTACAACATGGGAAAAAATTTTTACCAGCTGCTCCTCCGACAAAGGGCTATTATCTAGAATATACAAAGAACTCAAAAAAATCACCCCCCCAAATATAAAGACCCAATTCAAAAATGGGCATCTGAAATGAATAAACATTTCTCAGACAAAGAAGTAAAAGCAGCAAGTAAATATATTAAAAAATGCTCCACATCACTGGTCATTCCAGAGATGCAGATGAAAACAACACTGAGATTCCACCTCACCCCAGAAAGAATGGCTGCTACCAAGAAATTACACAATAATAAATGTTTGCGGGGATGTGGGGAGAAATAAACCCTTCTTCATTGTTGGTGGGAGTGCAGACTAGTGCAACCATTGTGGAAATCAATATGGAGATGCCTCGAAGAGCTTGGACTGGAAGTTCCATTTGAGGCAGCCATCCCTCTGCTGGGTATCTTTCCAAGAGAACTAAAAGAATCATATCACAGTGATGTATGTGCACCTATGTTCATAGCAGCACAGTTTGTAATAGCTCAAACTTGGAAACAGCCCATTTTGGCCACCAGTTGGAAACTAGATAAAGATGTGGTTTTTCTATAAAATGGAATATTACTCAGCCATAAAAAATAAGAAAATAGATTCATTCATAGGAAAATGGATACATATTGAAGATATACTCCTAAGTGAAATAAGTCACAAGTGTAAATACCAAATAGTTTCTCTGGTGTGAATAAACTGTAATAATACATAAGATCCTAATAAGATTACTGACATTGTGAAATGGGAAGAAAGGGGCTAAAGGTGTAGGGAAGGTGGGATGGGTAGGGGAAGGGTAATAAGGGAACAGAAAAAAATGTGAGATAATGAAAAGATGGAAATAAAGTGTTCGTAGATGGGGAGGGGAGGAGGGGCTGAAGGGAGGGCAGGGACAAGGGGAAAAAATGAGAACCAAGATCTGTCATGTAGAGGTACAAGATTCCAACAATGAATTTAACTGTACAAAATATACCAATAAACTCAATTAAAGAAAAGAAAAAGAAAGACGGTTGAGGAAAGAGAAAAACAACATGGGCAAAACAAAACAAACAAAAGTCAAAACCTAAACAACATGCCCTCCAAAAAAATAACTGATATAAAAAGGAAAATGAAACAAACTAATAAACAAAGAGAGAAAGAAGAAAAAAATTTCCTCTGGTGCCCACACTTCTGTGGTAGTGTCCAAGTTGGAGCCCAAATCTCTGCTGAGTAACTCTACCAAGTAGGATTAGTAGTTGGGTGGGGGGCTGATCTTGGACTCTGGATGTGGGGCTGGGGCCAGTCTTTAGTCAGCAACTTTCCAGATGGCCAGCCCATTTTCTTACTCTGTTTGACTTGGCATTGTTCTCCCAGCTGCTGTGGCACCTTTACACAGAGATAGCCAAGGCTGTTCCAGTCCTGTACATTTGGTCCCTCTGATCTTGCACAGCCTCCTCTGTTCCACACCACTGACTCCACTCACCTGATGCCCTCTTTGTCTTGCCACCACGGCACAAGGCTGCTTGTCCTGCTGGTCGCAAATTGGAGGGAGTGCTAGAATTTTTCTATATTACTTAAAATGTGAATCCACAGTTGTAATACTTTTCTGCTGTTACAAAAATCATATTTTTGAATAATATTTTGAATAATGATATTAGGGAAGGTACGGGGAAAAAATTACCATTTGAGAAATGAAATGAGATTTTCTTAGTGTAAAGCCAGTGGAATACCTGTGATGTGGGCCACCTGGGGACATTCCTCCCAACAAAGTTGTCAGACTGTCATGTGGAGAATGCAGGGCTATATTGATATTAATACCTAATTAGTGGCATTACGTCCTGTGTAAGAAAGGGTTGTGCAGGTAAAAGCGGGTAGTCTGCAGGGAATCTGTGAAAGGTTCATCCAAGCAGTAAAAGGATATCTGTTTACCTAAGAAAATCTTATAATCTGGCTGATGATACGAACATTGACATTCCTAACAAGAAATTCTCTCTAAAGCTTATATGCATATAGACAGTCTGAACTCGAGAATTCCAATCACTGAGATAAGCATTCCACTCCCTTCACTCAGATGCTGACGCTTGTGACTATTTTCCTCTACTGAAAGAGGTGAGCACAAGTCAATACAAGCCACTCAAAATGAGCCGGTGGTAATAAATTTGGTATCTGTTTTATTCGTTAGCCTTCTGTGACACTGTCATGGATCAGCACTTGACTTTGGACTATGGTTGAGTGTCCACAATCTGAACCATAGCGTCTCAAAGGACTTGCCACATGGTGACTAGTCTAAGCAGCCAGCTGCTTCTGTAAAAGTGACCTCTAAGAGAACTTCTAACTGCAACAAATGATATGCCAAATACTTTTAGCTCAGCTCTAAGGACTGAGAAAAGGAAGGAGAGAAGACATATTAATGAGGATGGTAGAAACCTCTGTGACTACCAAATTACTCCATGTGAACACCTGTGTCTTCCCTGCCTATTGCATGGATCTATCCATAGATTTATTTTGTGTGTGTGTGTATTAGGGTAGAAGGTGTAGAGGAAAAGAGCACAGTATGCATATCACAGAAAAAGCTGCGATGAGGCTTGTTTCTCTCAGTAGACCCAAGAGGGGGATGTCAACATCCCCATCTCACAGACCAAAAAGCTGAGTCACAGAAACAACCCATGAACCAAACAGGACCACTAGGCCAGCAAACGGAAAAAGCAAAATTTGGGCCTGAGACCCTGACTGAGAAGCCCACGTTTTGCTAGCACAGGCCTGGAAATCTAGGTACTCTCTCTTCCTCTGAGTGACTGGCCTCACTCACTCCAATATGTGCCCCAAACAAGAAAATGTGTTCTCCAGGAGGCCTAAGAGCCCATCTGAGCTCCATGTGGGTCTATCCAGATGTGAGACTTACTCCCTGGGGTCTACTCTGTTTCTACTGTCAGATCTCTCCCCTATCAGAGACACCGTCACACTACCAACTCCCAAGTCCCTCCTGGCGCCCAGTGGAGCTGCCAGAACAATCAGATGCTTGTGTGTCTGCTCCACGGCAAGCCCTGGTTCCTTGCAGGGCTGGAGCCTGGGGAAGCCACAATCTTGTGGAAAGAAGCTGTGCTGTGCTTCAGAATTCCACGGGTGAAATGCTCAGCCTGTCTGCCCCTGGCTGTGTGAACTGCCTCGGG